CCAGCGGCGCGCGCCTGGATTTCTCTGCGCGAGGGCGGCGGTGCCACCCCGATCGCCCTCCTCTCGAAGTGCTCCGCGACGCGGATGAGCCTCTCCGAGTCGGCGTCGGGCTGGGCGGGGAGGTCGCGCGCCGCGGCCGCCCGCAGGACGAACTGGCCGCGTGGGTCTCCCAGGAAAGGCTTCTGCATGCCCGAGTCCAAGGCAGCGTCGAACAACTCCTTGACCTGATGGCGCGCCCGTCGGCATCCGGGAGCCTGCGGCTGCGACTGAGGGGCGCGCGCTTCTCGATGGGGATCGCGCAACTGTGCCGCCATTCCATCGGCGGGCGGCGCATGCGAGGCCTAGCGGGCCCAGCCTCGCCGCGCACCCGATCGATCGTGAACGCTACGGCTCGGCCCGAAGCCGTCGGCGACCAGACCGCGGTACTTCGCGATGGTCGACGGCGTCGACCTCGAGGGATTAGACCCACTCGCCGCGAGCTCGAGATCCCGGCGAGGAGGGTGGCGCGATCGTAGTGGACAAGCCTGGCGGCCGCCAACTCGTCGGTCGAGATGTCGCAGGAGGCGGGCTTCTCCTGGCGCTCTGGAGCTGGATCGTCTTAGAGCTGCTTGAGGGTATCCTGGGGGCGATCGCCTCTCGCGTCCGCTGCTTCGCGTTGGTGATGTGATTATGCCTCTTGCTGTTCGGGTCGGGCTGCCAGGTCGGCCCGCCGGGGGCTCGGTGGCCGTCCAAAGTTCTGTTTCACCGTGCAGTTTGGCCTGCTTTCAGAAAGGCCAGGATGCAAGGGTGGGACTTCCATGGGGCCTCGGAAACGACCACTACCTTCAACGCCGCGTGGGGCCCCCACCCCCCTCTAGCGACGACGCAGTCGAAAAAAAGTGCGGGCGCCTCTGTTGCAGGCGACCTGGCATTTGGCTGGGAGGGCGGGCTAGCCTCCAAGCTTGCCGAACCAATCCATCTCACTGCCTTTCCCCTCTGCAGGTTGGAGAGTCCTATCTGCCATGATAATGCAAGGGCCTTCAACGCGCTGTTTAGAACGTCTGCGGCCCGAATAATTGGTTGCTCGCTGGCGCTGCGTAGTTTGAACCCCGGGGAGGGGCGCCAGGAAATCGCAGCGATGTCCCCCCTTTTCGCGCGCCACAGCAAGTTTGCGAGGAAGTGCAACGGATCGCGACCACGGTTTTGCATCTGCGTCTCACGCCAGGACTCGAAGCTGGCGCGGGCGGTGGTCTTTCTCGAGCGCGCCCACTCTTCCGCAGAGGTGTCTGTGCTAGGTGCGCCTGACCTGCGGGCGGGCATCACCGCGCACTTCCACCCATATTTCGATAATTCTTGCTTCGCGTGCACGACCTTGTCACCTGTGCTGTTGGTCTCGACACGGCTACTACTACATCATGCGCGTCCGCTCGGCCCCTCATAGACCCTTGAGCCACTGGGTCCCATTCCGAAATGTCCGCGAATAACGGCTGGGAGCCCATGGAAGAGTCGCTTTGAGACTGGCCGCTGCCTTGGGGATTGCGAGGAACCGGTGGCCAAATTGCGGCGCGGCCTGGCTCAGCGGGAGCACCGGGAGCAGGAACAGCTGGAGCAGACGCCGAAGACGCAAACGAAGCGGCGGCCTCCGCCGGAATGCGGGACTTGTTGCGGGACGCCTGCAGTGCGGCGAGGCACTTGGCGACCTCGGCTTCTTTGCGTGCTGCTTCGTCTGCTGCCGTTGGTGTCGTGGGCGTCGGGGGCGGCCCCTCTTTGTTTATCATTATCTCGTTGTCTGGGTTGGTCAGCTGCACCTCCTTCTTGCGCCCCTTTTCTCTCCCTTAGCGACCAGGCGCCTGTCCCCGCGAAACCTCTTGACGGGGTTCGAACAGATGACGCCCACCTTGGTGTAGTGGCCGTGGAAGGTCTCGTTTAGCTCCTTAACTTGCTTGAACTTATCTTTGATGTGTGTCTAAATGCCTCGTAGCCACTTCTGCTGGGTATCGTCGAACTCTACCAGATCGCTAAACAACTGGCCGTCCACCGCGAAAATGATGCGCTTGCCGTCGCTGGTGTAGCCGTCTGGTGAAGCAGCCTGCTGAACAAAAAGGGCCTCTGCACCGTAGCAGGCAGCAGTTTGGCTGCCTCTTCATGTACTGCCTGGGCCTTGATATGCTAAAGGGTGGTTGTCCCATTCCACTGGCGAGGCCCTGCTAGGCGCGGGTGACGGCGTCGGGGGCCCTTCGCCAGCATCGCACTATTCTTCTCCGAATTGCGAAAGGCGGTTTGGGTCTCCAAGTGCGGGTTCTTGGGCTTGGGTTTGGGCTTCAGTCCCTCTCCGTGCCTGATGAGGAACTGCGATGCCGGATCGGTGCCAACGAACTCGGGGAGGAACGCAAGCTGGTCCAGTAATACCTCGGGCTGCCCCTTGGGCGGGGATGGCCGATCGCGTGGCCACCATGCGGCGCGCTTCGGGTGCAAACGGAAGCTGGGTTAGGCCGTGCAAAGACATGTCCTTCTATCACTTCGCGCAACAATCCCCGTGGCGCTAGATACGGAAGTTGTGCGCCCACTTCCCGCAGCCGTCGCACCACGAGGGGGAGGAGGAGGAGGAGGAGAAGAAGGAGGAGGAGGAGGAGGAGGAGGAAGACGAGGAAGAGGATAAGGACGGGGACTAAAACTATTACCATGATTGCCGCAGTCACACGAGTCATCGGGAGGAGGGGGTCAGGAGGGGGACGATGAGGAAGAGACAGAGGATGAGGAGGAGGAGGAGAAGGAGGAGGAGGAGGAGGAGTAGGAGGAAGGAAAGGAAGAGTTGAGATGTCTCTTCACTCTATAACACCTCCTTTGTGGAAAACCAAGAAATTTGCTTTTGAATTGGTTTTGAATTGCTTGTGGAAGCTCAAGAAAATTGCTCAGCCGCCCACGAAGAAAAATATATCGTGCGAGCCTCGCGAAGCGGTGCGTCGCAAGCATGATGACGCATAGAGAAGGCGTCCAAGCCACTATGCGATGAGGCGACGGGGTTCAGAAGAGAAGGGAGGCACACGTGGCGCGACGAAGTACAGCACACGAAGTTTAAAGCTGCACTTTGTCACCCCACGCACGGCACTCCTCCTCATCTTACCCCGTCGCGCCCTCGTTTCGTTGCAGCTACCTAACTATACATCGCCTCGCTCGCGGCGCACCGTTTCGCACGAGTTGTGCGCTAGTGCTTCCCAGGCGAATGCCAACGGCATGTTTCGATACACTTTGGGACAATACGAACCAAACCCTGAGCCATTCCCTGAGGATCTCAAGATCGAGCAGCTATGTGGGGAAATGGCTCGCCAACCTGCTTGTTTGTTCGGTGCGCGCATCGCGCGCATCGCGGCCCCGTGGGGGGGGGGCGCCGACTGAAGGCTCCAATGGCAGGGTTGGCATTCGTCCACGCCGTTGATGCCCGATGGCTCATCACTGGAACGCCGCCCCATGAAAGGCCCACCCCCCGAACCCCCCAGTGGCAAGGATCGCGCGCGCCCCCGCCGCCATTTTGGCACGCCCCTCATTCGTTTCGTGGCCCAAGATAGAGCTTCCACCGACGCCCGCGCTGGCGGGGCTCGCGTGCGCGCCCTCCGCCCGCGTCGGCGCCCTCCTCACGCGTTTCGCTGTCCAATATGGGGTGCTCCGCTCAAGGCCCCGCGGCAAGGCTCGCACGCGCCGCAACCGAAAGTGTCGGCGCGCGGCCTACACGCCCCGCGGCCCAACGGTGAGTTCCACCGAACGCCCAGCCAAAGGGCCCGCAAGACGCCCGAAGAGGGCCCCCAAGGAGGGGCCGAGAGAGGGAATACGAACCTGAATATCGAACGTTCCCCCTCGCGATGGTTCCGAGAAACCCCCAGATGTGTCCGAAAAACACCTTGGGGGCCCCAGCGACCTTCCGAGAAGCCATCAGGAGGCCCCCAAGAGGCCCCAAGAGGCCACCGAATCCCCACATGTGGAACCAGGAACCCTCTCAGAGCCCCCCTAGAAGCATCCCGAACGACCCTCGCGCACATCGGAAAGACTTCTGTATAATCCACTGCCCAGGCACGGCAGCGGGTTCGTCCGAATGCTGGGTAATTTCTACGTTCATCTCGAGTTCTCGCTCCTCCTGGTGATCGGCGGAATGGCGTAAGCTACTTGAATATACTAGCAGGGTGGAGGAGGGGAGGGCGAGTACAATGACAAGGACGAGGAGGAGCATACTATGAGGGGGGATATGAGGAATATGATGATTAAGAAGAACAGGATAAGGAGGAGCAGGAGGAAAAGGGAGGAGAAGGAGAGAGGCTGGAGGGAGTAGGAAAGCGGGGACACAAACACCCTCCGCCCCAACCGCCTGACCCCACTCCTAACACATACCCCGACCCCAACATCCTAGCACCAACACCCCAACCCAAACCCAACACAGTAAAGAGCCCAACCCCAACGCCACAACTCTAAACCCAACTCTAACATCCCAAACCCCAGCACCCCAACCAAAAAAAACTGACCGACACCCCTACCCCAACTCACTAATCTGGACGCCCCAACCCTAACACCCCACGACCAACACCAACACCCCGACCTGAACAGCCTCAACCTAAACGGGCAAACAACGCGCGGGGAGGAGCGGCGCTGAGTGAGGAGGGCGAGTAGGGAGGAGGAGGAGGAGGAAGACTCCAGCTCCTCCCCCACTCCTCATCCCATCGTTTTCCTCGGGCGCCCTCGTGCGCCCCAAGCGTCACGGGACGCGGCTGCCGCCAGCAGCGGGGCCCGCCCCGCGGTTGCCAGAGGCTCGTGATCGCGAGATCCTCATCGTCCTCCTTCCGAGGGAGGATGATGAGGACAGCGCGGCATCTCAACCCGCCTTCCCCTCCCGTAGTCCTCCTCCGCCCCCCGCCCAACCTCTACGTCGAAGCTCCGCCTTTCCCTCCCGCACCTCCCCCCGCCCTCTCCTAACCACCGTAGCACGGGCCTCCAGCTACCGAGAGACGACCCCGCGGCAACCTCTTCTTCCAGAGCTACTGCAAGGGGACCAGGTTGATCGCGTCCTCGACGTGCTTCTTGATCCACGGGTGGGCGTTCTCGTAACTGTTCGGCTTGCGCGCGTTGCCCGAGTTCCTCTCTGCACGGCATTTCCTCTGGAGCTGATTCTTATCTTTGACCGTCGCCATAACTCCGAGGATGGTCGCCTCCTTACTGGTAGTGAATGCTTTCTTGATCTTGGTCTCCAGCGAGGCCTCCCACTGGACATCAGCCTGCGTGTCGAAGGCTTCGCGCTGCTCTCTGGCCTGTTCGAAAGCCTTCTGTGCTTCCGTTGCCCGCGTCTTGAACGAAGTGGGATTGAGCGTGAGGAGCGTCTTCGCCGCGTGCTTGTAGACCGCCTGGAAGCTGCTCTCGCCGACCAGCGTTTCATGCCAGCCCGAGCCGTCGAAGGTGCCAGCGTACGACTGGTCGAGGGTCCTCTTGTTCTCGTCGCGGTCGTCGATGGGCGTGGTCCACAGCGCCGTGGCGGCGACCTTGCATGCTTCGTAGCGACTCGCTGCATCAGCCACGATAGTCCGCTCGATGCTGTCCTGAAGCTCCCTTATCAAAGCGTCCTGCCTGAAAGAGGCGGCGAGCTGCCTGAACTGCGCCTCGATCGCCTTGCGGGCGCTGTAGAGGCCCTTCAACGCCGAGCCGTCGGAGTCCATGCTAGCCCTGGCTGCGGAGTCCTGTCCAGACGCTACATACTTGCGAAAGTCGGTCCTGGCGTCGGCGACGGTGCCCAGCAATCGGTGCGCAGCGTTCCAATCACGCCTCTCGGGAGAGCTCGGGTGCAATATCTGGATCACGTGCCCGACGAGCCCGACCGTGTCGCTGTTGAGGTGATCAAGATTCCCGACCATCTGTTCGAACACGCCCTTCAAGAGATCGACGGTGGCTGTTCTGACGGGGACTGGGAAGGGGTTCTCCAGATCGGCCACGCGCAAGATCTCGTTAACCTTGACGATGAAACTCTCCCTGGCGTCGGTAACCATCAAGTCGGCTGGCTGGATCGCGCTGATGGTGTTGCCAAACCCTTCCTTTGACACCTCGATGCTCATGAGGCGCCCGATCTCCAAGCAAGCCTCCTTGGCCGCGGTGACCTTGGCACTGATCCTGAAGCAGCCGCTGTCCTGCGCGATCGTCAAAAAGCGTTGCGTATTTTTCAACTCCTCGATCGTGCTGCCAATCGCCGCAGACTCCGTGGCGTTGGACTTCCAAGCGGCCGCGATACGTTGCACCTTGAAAACGCAAGCACCCGTCACCAGGTATCACATCGCCCCCCTCGGCATCACGATCTATACATCGATCTGACTATCAATCTACTTATCGGTTCCCCGATCCATGTATCTATCGGGACAACCATCGGGACTCCCAACACGACAATCATTGGGGACACGACTGGGGACACCTCCAGGGCAATCATCGGGACCACCGTCGGGGCAATGATATGGGCAACCATCGTAAACATCAGGCCAACTATCGGGGCAATCTTCGGGGCAGCCACCAGGAAAACCATCGGGGCCACCATTTATATATCTAGCGGTCGACCTATAGATATATCAATCGATCGATCTCATTATCAAATCCGTAGATTACCTACCTAGCGGCACCGATTGATCGATCTCAATGTCGGTGCACCGATCTCACTATCAATATCTATGTCGCCTTACTGCTCATCTGTCGTGACAACTATCAGGACAGCCCTCGGGACAACCATAGGGGGGCAACAAATCGGGACAATCAGCTGGACATCCTCACAATTCTGTTGGGCATCTTGGAACACGTCTCATCGATGTCTGGCATGGCTCTAAGTGCTCCCCAGGACGGAGACCATTCACATAACAGTGGACGATTGGGGCAAGAGTGGGTCGGTTCGAGCCCAGAGACTTTGGCCGCCAACGCTTCCAGGTAGGCCAACATCTTCGTCTCGAGCTCCTTAGTAGCACCCTCGCGCGAGCTCTTCCTCAGAGTTGCCATGGTCCTCACCACGTCCTCCAGCTGCGGCATGACTGCAACCGCGTCGGTGTACCCAGTGAGGACCTTCGTGGCCGCGAGGATCTTGTCCACGCTGAGCGGGTGGGTCACCTGGGGGGCTGACCCGCCCTCCTCATGCCCTTCGCCCATACCACCCAAAGACGACCCTCATCCGCCTTCCCCCTCGTTTCCTGATCATTCACCACCGCCTTCCTGCGCCCAACCATAGCCTCCTCCTCCTCCTCCTCCGCTCACCCCCTCATGTTTTCTCGCCCTACCCTCCCTAACCACCATCCTACGAGCCGCCCACCCCGCCCAGCCGTCAGACTTGGGCCCCCCTCCAAGTCTGGAATAAACCCACCCCTCGACGTCTCCATCCAACCCATCGCCCCTCTCACCTTGGTCCTCTTGATGGACGTGACGTTGCTCGCGAACGTGGTCGTCTCGCACATCCGCTCGTTGAAGAGGTACCTGAGGCCCTTCCACTGAGACTCGCTGATCGGCTCCGCGGCCGTCACCGCGTCGAAGTCGCTGGCGAACCTGAAGTTCAACGGGTCGGGGTCCATGACGCACTGGGCTGCCCGCAGACACTCCACCGCGGAGTTCACGCTCAACTGGATCTCCTCATCCGCGTCTTCCGCCACGGAGTTGATCAAGATCTGGTCCACCTGCTGGCACAGCTGAATGCACTGCTCCGTGGATCGCGTCGTGGACCAGCTTCTCAGCAGCGGACAAAACAAGTAGGAGAATGTAGCGCTTTCGAACCGTACCACCTTCGACGCTGCGTCGCCAGGGATTTGGAAGCCACAAGGATCCCGCCAATCAAAGCCAGCTTCGCCCTCGGGAGACGCCAGCGGATCCTCGCCATCAGCAGGCGGAACCCTCGAAGGCAATGCGATCTTGAAGAAAGTTGCGTAATCATCGGAGCCGCCGCTGGTTAACTCCAACCCCAATGCCGATGCAGCTCTGTTGCTTATCTCCACTGCCAGCGATACCGGTAATACCATGCCCGTCGAGACTAGAGCAGTCATCTTGGACTCGAACGCATCCTTGGGCAACGTGTGCAGCAGTTCTGGCTTCGCCAAATCCTCGGCGTAGGCCGCCAAGTCGAGGCGCTTCGTGATGAGCCCCGCAGCGTCGAGCTCAGTTTGGTTTGTGGATAGGCTGAACTGGTCCCTCCTGCCTTTCAGCCGCGCCCTCTTGTGCCCGAGGCTGTTCAGTCCACTCGCGATGGTGGTGAGGTTGATGGCCTTGATCTTATCGTTCAGCACGCTCTCGAAGTTCTCCCCGAGCTTGAGCGGGGCGTTGGACGGCGCCCCCCCGATAACGGTGGCGGCATCGTCGTCGTCATCGTTCTTGTCATCTTCGTAGTCCCTGCACTCGACCACGGTAGCGACGAAGCCCCACCTCCCCTTGGTAAGTTTGGTCCAATAGCCGAACTTCGCAGGCGGCTCCTGCTCGGGAGACACTTGATCCAAGTCGTCGCCAGCATCTGCCAGACCTTCTTCGTCGGCCTTCGTCTGGTCGTCGCCATTGGGGGTCGCAGTGGCCTTCGGGAGGCAGTTGTCGTAGCTGATGTTCTGAAGGCGGCATCGCTTGTACTGGGCGTCCTCCTGGCCACTCGGACGAACCATCTCGGCGAAGCAGTCCTTGCCTTGGGACGCCACCAGCTGGTCCCCCGCTATCAGCCTGCACTCGTCCTCGGACGTGCTGCGCGAGACGCCGTACTCGACGAGGACGCCCACGTCGCCCAGCCGACCAGTTTCGTTGACCAGCACCACTTGCATCTTGCTGGTCGGGTCGTCAGGGTTGTCGACAAGCGAGAGCTTGAAGCCCTCAACCTCGTGGCTCTGCTTAAAGTGTTCCTGGGGCGGCAACGGGAATCGCACGCGGGGGCGCACTCTCCCTACCCCTCGCGTAACCACCGTGTCTGCACTATCGTCATCCTCCCCCTCCATCTCCACCTCCGTCCACCTCGATGTCCGATTCCCCCCTCCCGAGACCCCCGTCCGCCGACCAGCCGCCTCTCCAGAGCATTCTTGATTTACGCCCCACCCTTGAGAGAGCCTATGCGTCGGCCCAAGCCGCAACTGTCAAAAACGGCCAGCCCCAGGGTGATTTGTTTAACAAAACTGAAGAACAATGGCAAAATCCCACCAGCCCTCTGGGCGTAAGTGGTCCAGGGCATTTCCTCTTCCAGAACCCCCTCTCCCTGCTCCCCCCCTGGGGTATGATCCCTGATTCACCCTCCACCAGACCCTCCCCCCCACATCCACCCCCCCTCCACCACCTTCCTCACCTCCCCCTCCACCTCCCGGTCCACCTCCCCCTTCCACCACCCCTCCACCTCCCCCTCCACCCCCCTTCCACCCCCTCCACCTCCCCCCTCCACCCCTTCGGATGTCCCCGAAAGCTTTTTGGGGAACCCACGGGAGGGCCCCAAGAAGGCTCTAAGAGGGCAACATTTTCTACTACCAGCGGGGGGGCCTCTGGTAGTAGAAAATCGGACACTCTTGGGGCCGTCTTGGAGCCCTCCTGGGCCCTCTTGGGGCCCTCTTGGAGCCTCTTGGGGGCCCAAGAGGCCTCCAGGAGCGCCCACACAGGGCCCCAGAGGGGCCCCAAGAGGGCAACATGTTCTACTACCAGTGGGGGGGGCGTCTGGTAGTAGAAAATCGGGCCCTCTCGGGGCCGTCTTGGAGCCCTCTCGGGGCACTCTTGGGGCCCTCTCGGGGCATCTTGGGGGCCCAAGAGGGCTCCAAGAAGGCCCCAAGAGGGCCCCAAGAGAGCCTCAGGAGGGCCCCAAGAGGGCAACATATTATACTACCAGCGGGGGGCCGTCTGGTAGTAGAAAATCGGGCCCTCTCGGGGCCGTCTTGGAGCCCTCTTGGGGCCGTCTTGGGGCCATCTGAGAACTTTGGAAACTCTTGCGGGCCCGAGAGGGCTCCAAGAGGGCACCGAGAAGGCCCCAAGAGGGCCACAAGAGAGCTCCAAGAGGGCAACATGTTCTACAACCAGCGGGGGGTCGTCTGGTAGTAGAAAATCGCGCCCTCTTGGGGCCGTCTTGGAGCCCTCTTGGGGCCTCTTTGGAGCCTCTTGGGCATCGGACTTACGATGCCCAAAGCGCTCGGACTTAATATACCCAAAGCGTTCTTCCAGTGGAAGAAGGAAGAACGCTTTGGGCATCTTAAGTCCGATGCCTTTAGGCCTCAAAGGGATTGGACTCCAGATGCCCAAAGCGTTCTTCCTGTGGAAGAACGCACTTCCTGATCACCTCAAAGCGCCTAGGCGTCGTTCCTGGATGGGCTGGCGGGGATACGCGAAGCGTCAAGAATTGCTCACAGGTTGAAGCCCAAGGTCCTCGAACTCTGCGGCAGTGAGTCCACGCTTGCGCTTCGAAACCCTGGTGAAGTGCGACTGGTTGCGGTACACGTCGCTGGAGTAGAAGAAGGCGCGGTGCTGGCTAGACCGCACGGCGGCGACAAACACCTCCGCAAAGCTCGGGTCCTCATTGCACTTGTCGATGACCGCTGCGGGGGTTCCGACGAAAGCGAAGGTGTTGCACACTGGCCCGCAGAGCCAGCACGCGGGTCCCGCAGGGAAGTAGACCTGCGACGGCGAGGGGATGAGGGTTGGAAAAGCACGGCCCTAACGTTCCTTGCCAGCTCCCAAAGCTCCACACTCGGAAACTTTCAAACTCGACATCCGTGATCCTGAACCCTCAAAACTAACGCCCCATAAACCTTGATAGAGCGAAGCACCGAACACATCCATATAAAAAAACACAAACCCGAATGGCGGTCAGTCAGGGCCCTCCGCTTTGGGAACCCAGGACCCGTCGGAAACAGATGCACCGAAAACGTGCCAGCGAGTTCGTTCCCAGACGACCTCCCTCCATTCTTTCCCAACCTTCTTCCACTCGAAGCTGTAGTTACCCCACTCCTTGCAGCGGAACTCCTCGTTGTCACCAGCCTTGGCAAGAGTGTTGGGGCAATCATTGCGGCCGCACTTCGAGGGCGCCTCGGTCAGCTCATCCATGTAGGCGTCCACGCCGCTGTTCGTCAAGTAGGGGCGGGGCTCGGCGGCCCTGTTGGGGGCGGTCTTCCCCGCGGGAGACGCCGTGGATGCAGACGCTGCTCCCGCAGCACCTGGTCGACGAGGCGCCTTGGCAGATGGTGGCCCCTCGGTCTTGACGTTCATCGCGCTGCCGCCCATGTTGCTGTGGAGGTCGGCGTTGTCATCCTTGTGGCCAGACTTGTCCTTCCCATTGCCCTTGCCCTTGGCGCCCTTGCCGCAGCCCTTGGGCACCGAGCTGCCAGGCACACCGGGAGGCATGGCTGCCGCGGCGCCACGGTCGCCCCCAGTGTTGGCACAGGGGTGCTGTCAGAGTGTCCGAACATCAAAGTTCAAAGTCGCCCCGAGGCTTGGGCTTGGGCCCCTATTATAGAGTAAGGTGTAGAGCAATGAACTGGCCACAGAGGGTGGCATGGTCACCTACACACCCCTCATTGGAAGAGCACGGGGCAGACCGATCAGTAGAACAGTCCAAGGAGAGGCCAAACCAAACCTCCGATACAGCAACGCAAGCGCGCACAATGCAACGCGTGCAATGCGGCCTGCATTCGCAGGCCTGGTTGCTTCAGGACCTCCTGAGTCCATACACATTCCATTCCTACCCTTCGGGGAAGGGAGTTCCCAGGCCACCGCCACCGCCCACTAGGTATCGAGGGGGATCGCGGGGCGTGGGAGCGTCCACGATGGCATGGCATGGATTTGAGGGGAGCCAAGAGAGCTCTACCTGGCCTACACGATGGCCGAAGATCTTGAGAGGGCATCCAAAATGAGGGGCCCCTGAAAGCCAAGTAACCCCTTCGTTCTCAAATCCACAAACTTGTCGGGCCACAGCGGCCCTCCCTGCTCTGGACCCCCACCCGCGCGCCCACTGGAGTATCAGAAGTCCTGGAGGCCACATGCCCAAGGTTCCTGCCTGGCCTGGAGCTCGGTGCGGACAGCAGGCCTAACACCCCGCCAAGTGAACACCCGACCGAACATTGCATTTGAAAGGACTGTCTAACGCTCGGAGCTTTTTAAGTTTAGGAGTGGCTCTCGAGGGCTCAGAGTTTGGGCAGTCCAGCGGGGGTACCTGGCGACGAGGACGGAATTTGGCGAGCCCGCCGCGGTTGCAGGCGGTTGAGCCTATATCTGATAGCAAGACAAGCCCACCGATATGTAGAGGCAATCCGTCGCTCCGATGTGAATGCAATCTGGCAGCGAGACGATCCCAACCCGATAGTGAGACAATCCCACAATGGCAGATTCACATGTCGTTTCGATGTGCCTGTATATGTCAGTGAGGCAGTCAGACAATCCCGATATGATAGTGAGACAATCCCAACCTGACATTGAGACAGCTTCATACTGAGCAAATCTGATATTACATTCACCTGTCACTCCGCTCTGACAATCTCGCCGTGAGGCCTATATCTGATAGTGAGACAAGCACAATCGGAGTGTACACGAATCAGTGTGCCCGCCAAAATGGCAATGAACGCACCCAACATTGCACAACATAGACGCACCCCCAAAGACGGCTCGCACCATAGATTGCACCACATAGATTGCACCACATACACGGGTCCATCTTAGATGGTTTGCCCGAGTTCCCCCTAGATTGCCAGACCAAGAGGGCTCCACCAAGAAGTTTCTGCCGAGAGGACACACCTAGGCGGCATGGCCAATCGATTCCACCGCATAGGCTGCACCACATAGATTGCAACACATCATAAGTTGCACGAGTAGATTGCTGGCCACGGCTTGCAGCAAGCACCACATATATTACACCACGTCTTCGTCGTCCGTGTCATCGTCGTCCTTGCTGTCGTCATCGTCATCGTCGTCGTCGTCGCCGTCACCAATCTTACCAGCGTGGACTCCAAATAACAATTGCTTGCAATATACGGTGTCGGAGACTCAGCACCCTTTCTTGTTTTACATTATTGCGGCTCTCGTCAGCCTGAGAGTCTGAAAGACTGAAAGACAAACGAGTGGAGGCGTGCCCAGCGGCACCTCTCGATGCACCAAGCTGCGCATCGCGCAACTTCGAAATATTACTCCTCGTGCTTCCTCCCTCCTCCTCACTCCGACCCCACATCCCTACTCAACCATCCTTCCCTTCCCCTATGAATCCTGAATGCCTTCCCCCCTCAGTCATTGCCGAGCGAGCCTGGCAGATGCAATATATTAGCGCAGCTGCGTCTGCGTCTCGTCAGCCGTGAGCGTGGATGGCGGAGTATCCGTCGGAAGGTACTCATCAACCTGCTGCGCGAAGGTCCCCATCTGCGTCTCCGCGTGGGCGGAGTCGGTCGCGAGCATCGCCTCCAGCTCCTCGTCCAAGGTCTGGCTGGGCACGGGGCCGAACGGGGAGGCCCTGAACACCCTGGGGCGGCCGCCGCCGTCGCGCTGCCCCTGCTCGCTCAACACTCCTGCCGCGAACCTTGGCCGTGGACGCGGCGCTTCTGATACACGATTGGCGAGTGGAGGAACTGCTGGAGGTGGCATGTTCTCGTTGTTGTTGCCGCCGTCCCCAGGCTCGTACGATTGTGACTCTTCCACGAGGGTCGGCTCCGCTAAAGCAGCCAGGGTATCGCGCTGGGTGGCATCATCAGGCAATATAGGAGCAGCGTCGGCAGTCCAGCCTCGAATGGCGGCGCTCCAAGCGTCGGCGTTAGCTGTCTGCACGTCCGTCAGAGACGGCTGTTGTGGGAGAGGGTGAGCGCCCGCCGCCTCATCCCGCTGATCAAATGGAAGCGTGGGCTGCGGCTGGGAGGACGCCGTCGCCTGTGGGTGGACGCCAGTCTTCTTCTCGAGCAGCTGTTTCTCATTGCGGGCCTGCTTCTCCGAAATCAACTCCACCTCACTGTCGCTATCGGCAGCCTCGCTCTTCTGCTTTTTTGCTGCTGGCGGCCCTGCATCGGCCCCAGAACTGTCGCCGCGGCCCCCCGAACTGGCGGCCTCCAGAGACGCCTTTTTCTTCGACTTGCTGTCGCCGCCAACTTCCCTCGTAGTAAGCTCGATCTCAGCTGGCACACGAAAACGTAGTACTCCCCCGAGTTGTTCTGGAAGCCCGTCGACTTCGAGTTGGAGTCGTAGGCAGTGACCTCTGACCTTGACCTTCTGCTGCAAAATTGGGCTCGGACCACCAGCGGCGCCATTTTCAGGCTGAGACATCCCAGAACGTGAGAAACACAAGTTGTGAGAAACACAAGTAACAAGTATGATCTGAAACTTCTAGCCACTGACTCAAACTGCGGCGAAACAATAATGGTAATCGTCGCCGTATTGCTTCCTGCAATTACAATGATATGTAAAGTGGGTCCAAGGGCTTCAGTCACATACAAATGCAAGTATTGGGTTCGGCCCCCGTGGACATGCCACGCAACCGTCGGAACACCCGTGCTCATCTGGTAGGGGGGGGGGGGCATGGGGCGGCGCGCGAATGAAACGCGACAGCTCCAGAAGGGCCCTGTCGCACCGATTTCATTGGATATTCCAAAATGTTCGTTCCACGTGAGCCACCATTGAGATTCAGTTTCTATCGGCGCCATCCACTGACCAGAATCGCCGCCCCCGATGCTAGACTACAGTCGTACCCATTACTGGCGATACTAAAATATTACGCGGCCCTCCGCATGCCCATCGGCACGCCGACTGACGTCTTTCTCGTTTTTTTCCTAACCCTCATGTGGTGTTGGGTCCTCGTTTTGAAGAGACATCGCCCTGCGTCTCCTTCCTTCCTCCCTCCTCCCCCCTCCTCCATCCTCCCATCGCAGTCATCATCATCACCCATCTGTCCCATCACCGTCATCATTATCATCCATCATCATCACCACCATTTTCTAACACTGGCTCCATCATTATCCGTCCCCTACCCCCACCATCATCACCACTTATCAGCATCACCATCGTCGTCATCGTCATCATCGCGGCCACCACCGTCGCCATCATAACCCCCGTCATCGTCACAAACATCGGCATCAGATTCGGCGCACCCCTCACGAGTTTCGTGGCCCCATAAGGAGCTCCACCGAAGGCCCCAGCGGCCGCGCCCGCATGCCTCCCCCAGACACATTTCGGCACAACCCTCACACGTTACGTTGCCCAATGGGGACTTCTACCGAAGCCCCAGTGGCGGCGCCCGCTTGCCCCCCCCCACGCAAATTCTTGCACACCTCTCACGCGCTTCGTGGCCCCATGATTAGGGTAATCAACCGAAGACGAAACTCACAACTGCTGCAACCACAACAACATATGGTTCAGGCTCGCGGCAGGCCAATTGCAGACGCGGAGCACATTTATTTCAAAATCCAACCAGCCAAACTTAAGTGTTAATTTCGAAACCAGCACGGCTACTTTGTATTTGAGGCAACGCAAGACTCTTCACGCGCGCGCGCGCTCCAAACGCGGCCAACGCGCGCGCGGGGAGTGTTTCATTATCAATCGTCGAAGACGCGCATCAGGATACATTTAATTTCTGAATACAAGTGGTCAACCTTGAAGGTTCCCTGTAATTTCCAAGGCAACACTGCGATTTTACCATTGCCAGAAATACAGAACTCCGCACATGGACGCGCGCGCCCCGCGCGCAATTCTGCAACCGCATTCGTATAACTCCCATACTACATTCCATTCGAAAATAGGAATCCAATCGCCCGCCCTGAAGAGCCCATGGTAGGTCACAGGCCAACATTATGTTTTCCCGTTTGGACATTGCGGAATTATACAAACGCGCGCGCGGGCGACGCGCGCCACGCCTGCGCGCTGACCATTGACAACTCCAATTTCATTTGGGTTTTCTCAGAGCCCAACGCGCGCGTTCTACACGGGGAAATGTTCCAGAAACGCGTGTTAACTTCAACGTCCGGTTGGTCGCCGCTAAGGGCTCGTTGTAGTTCCCAGGCCAACATGGCGACTTGCCCACGGCGGCGAATACAGGACTCTACGAGCGCGCGCGGGTGGCACGTATCCCCCGCGCGCACTGGTCGGTGACCGATGCAGGTTTGCTTGAGTTCTCGCGCAAACATGGTTGCGTTCTAGATGAGATTTTCACAGGAGACGGCATGCTTCAGAATCCGATCGGGCACCGTTAACCATTCGTGTTAGTTCCCAAGCCAACAATGGTACATTTCGGCGATCGACAATGCACGACTCCTTCGGCAGCAAATGCGCGCGCGCATGCCCAACGGCCCGACATGCGAGCGCGGGCGGCCATGGAACGTGGGCCCGCGCGCACGGGTCACCCGATATCCGCTCGGAGGGTTAGCACTAGCTTCTTAGCC